GGGGGCAGCGGGCGTGGGGAGGCACTTTTCCTCTGCCCGGCAGCTCTGCGGGATCCCTGTCCCTGTGGCCAGCTGCTGCAGGCAGAGGCCAGTTGGAGCCGGCCGAAGATGAGGAGGGGGTGGATTCTAGGACCCAGGTGGGCGAGCCCCGGGGACGCTGCTGCGCTCCGGGAGCCCGGCATGTATAGGGGGGAGGAGGGGCAGAGAGGCTGCTTTTGTCTGTTCGGCAGCCTGTTGCTCAGGGGAGGGGGCAGCCTGTTGCTGGCAGGAGGGTGGGGGGGGGCAGCGGGCGTGGGGAGGCACTTTTCCTCTGCCCGGCAGCTCTGCGGGACCCCAGTCGGAGCCGGCCCGAGGAGGAGGAGGATCCTAGGACCCAGGTGAGCGAGCCCCGGGAATGCTGCTGCGCATGTGCGGGAGTTGCCTCACCCCGTTCGTATCTAGGGATCCGACGTAAGTTGGATCCACGTAAGTCGGGGACTGCCTGTAGCTAATTCGAACTAGTTTTTAAGTCTAGCTGCGCTAATTCGAATTAGCTTAGTTCGAATTAACTAATTCAAACTAAGTTAGTTCGAATTAGCGCTGTAGTGTAGACATACCCTAGCTGATTTAAAACAAAGAGTAGGACGTTTTTCTTCACGCAACACACCGTCAACCTGGGGAACTTCTTGCCAGAGGACGTTGTGAAGACAAGGACTTTAACAGGGTTCAGAAAAGAGCTGGATAAATTCATGGGAGTTAGTCCATCTATGGCTGTTAGACAGGACTGGAAGGAAGGGTGTCCCTGGCCTCTGTTTGGCAGGGGCTGGGAAAGGGGTAAACCAGGGGAGGGGTCACTGGATGATTCCCTGCTCTATTCCCTCCCTCTGGGGCACCTGGCGCTGGCCACTGTGGGCAGACAGGTACTGGGCTGGATGGGCCTTTGGTCTGACCCAGCCTGGCCGCTCTGATGTTCTCATTATTCACGTACTGGTTGTGGGCAGCCGGAATTGCTGTAGCAGTTTACCATCCTGGGCAGCCCTTTGGATGGGATTTGTCCATTTTGTTGGTGCTCATATGAGCGAACTCTTGGCCATAGACTTGGAGACATTTGTTATGTGTCCATCTGACTGCATCAGTCTTTGTTTTCTGCTCCGGCAGATAAATGTTTGCCGCTCTGTCTTCATCTGGCTCTGGGTGAAGCAAGCCAAGGCAGCAGGGTGGGAGGTTGGTTGAGTCTAGCGTGGAATGGTAACAATTCACCAGGTCCTCCTCCTGTGGGTGGGGTGCCAATGTCCTTTAGTCGACTTTGGACTGAAGGTGCAGCCCGAGGTCTTCACCGACGAATCAGGACCCTGGGTCTGTCTTGCTGCCTGACAAGCAGTGGCCATCTCTGCAGGGTGTTGGCTGGATTGTGCTGTCTTTGACCCTGACATCTAGGCTGAAGATGACAGCGAATCCTGGGTTTGCCCCAAAGTCCTTCTGTGACCCTAGGCCAGTGCTCCAGTGCCTGGGTCTCCATTCCTGCCTGTGTAGGGGCTAGCAGCTCTGCCCTGCCCCACAGGGGTGTGAGGAGAAAGGCAGTAACGACTGTGAAGTGACCAGCACGTCCATGCAGGGGTCACATGGCTGCATAGCTATGTGGGTGCATGGAGATGGATAGGTGTGTGTGCGTGTGCCCATACATCTGCCTGCACACCATTTCAGTCTCAGTCTGGTGACCCTGGGGCATCCGTCCTCTCCCAGGTGCCATCTCAGTACATGACTCCAAAAGCCTGGACTTCGAGTCAAACCCTCGGCTGCGCCTCGTGGTTCAAGCAGAGACCGATGCCTCCTTCAGCTTCATGGTTGTGAACCTCAACCTGCAGGATGTGAACGACAACTTGCCACGCTTCCAGCTGCAGAACTATGTGGCCTTTATCTGGGAGTCACAGAGCTACGACGCCCCTGTCATACAGGTACCTCTGGGGAGGGGAGCCCCGCACTGGGAGATGGGAACCTCACACGTGAGCTCTGGGCACCAGAGGGTGGGAAGGGGAGGGCATGGCTGGATGGCCCTATGGATCTGAGCAGGTCAGGAAGGCAGGGGGAACAGGGCTGGATGGACTCATTGCCTGGGAGGGTGGATCACATTTGGATGGGCTCATTGGTCTGATTGGGGAGGGGGAATCCATGCTGGGACCTGAGGAGTATAACGGAGGGCTGGAATGGCTTGGAATGTGAGAATGGGGCAGGAGTGGCCTGTGGGACTGAGCCGGAAGTGTGGGATCAGGCCTGGAATAGCCTGTGTCAGTCAGAATTGGGGTTCGTCCTGATGTGTTCCTGACAGGTCCTCTGCTCCCTTCATGATCAGCGTTTGGCTGCCTGCCTGCATGCCTGTGCTCCCATCTAGTGCGTTAACCATGCTCAATCAGTCAACACAACAGACTCCTGAGAGAGCCCCCAGAGACCACAGATCAGATAAGGGTCAAAAGCACCCGAGTAGGTTTATTGTCAAACGATATACAATAATAGTTGTCAGCAAACAGACTCACTGCTGTGTCACTACACCTTGGATGTGTCTAGACTGGCATGATTTTCTGCAAAAGCGGTTGCTTTTGCGGAAAAACTTGCCAGCTGTCTACACTGGCTGCTTTGAATTTGCGCAAGAGCACTGACGATCTCATGTAAGATTGTCAGTGTTCTTCCGCAAATACAATGACTCTCCCGTTCGGGAAAAAGCCCTCTTGGGCAAATGCTTTTGCGCAAGAGGGCCAGTGTAGACAACTGAGAACCGTTTTGCGCAAAAAAGCCCCGATGGCGAAAATGGCGATCAGGCCTTTCTTGCACAAAACCGCGTCTAGATCGGCACGGACGCTTTTCCGCAAAAAGTGCTTTTGGAGAAAAGTGTCTGTTCCAATCTAGACGCGCTTTTCCACAAATGCTTTTAACAGAAAAACGTTTCCGTTAAACGCATTTGCGGAAAATCATGCCAGTCTAGACGCAGCCCTTATGTATTCCGTGGCAATGGACCAACGCCCATCTAAGCGCCCTAGATTTCCAGCACCCCTCCACGGTCAGTTGATCACCCTTTGGGGTGCACTTTTATACACAGGCACAAACAAGTTACACATCACTCCTGATGTATCAGCTTGCCACCTCTGTTGCCTAGTTACAGCCCCTTACCTTGCAGAAGGGGGTTTCCATTACTATCCATCACGCTGTTGATTTAGACCTGGTCCTGAACCTAGGTCCATATGTCTGTTATTTGTGGGGTGTGTTGGTACCAAGATGTTTCTTAACAAGGTGTTTTGTTACAACCCCTCGGGAATGGGCCTGTGCCTCTTAGATCTGAGTTTTTCTGTAATATCAGCCCTGTTCTTGCCAGTTTCTGTGAGCAGGACCTGGCGCTTGTTCACAGCTTAACTTTGCTTTATATGAGCAAAGTCTTGACCATTGCTCTCTAGGACTCAGGCCTCATACTTGGCCTGTGAGACGCGGGCTTATGTTTCAGACCCTCATCTTACTACAGCCCAGATGTGACAGGTTCCCCCTAGGGTGCCACCTGGAACTGGGGTACCCCTGAGCTCTCCGACTCACCAGCCTGGGCTCCCTGTACACTGTACTGCTGCAGCCAGTCTGCCAAGCCCTCTCCCAGGAGTCAGTCTGCACTGTACCTGCACAGATGCAGGTAGGGACACACCCAGCTGCAGTACATGCTGACACTGTGACCAGCCCTGGCTAGGGAACTTCCCAGCTCCTTAGGCACACACCTCTGGGGTGTAAACCCCAAATTATACCATCTTGCATTGAACAGGAAATGGGCATGAAATTCACCCCCTCCCTCAGTGTGGAGCAAAACATCCAACAGCTGCTGCTCTATGTTCTGACTCACACGGTGATCTTAGACAAAGCACAAGTGAGTTTATTAACTACAAAATGAAGTTTTTCTTCACTCAGCACACAGTCAACCTGTGGAACTCCTTGCCAGAGGATGTGGTGAAGGCTAGAACTTTAACAGGGTTGTAAAAAAACAAGATAGATTTATGGAGGTTGGGTCCATCAATGGCTATTAGGCAGGATGGGTAGGGATGGTGTCCCTTGCCTCTGTTTCTCTGGAGGTGGGTGACGGGAGGGACCACTTGAGGATTACCTGTTGTGATCCCTCCCTCTGGGGCGTCTGGCCTTGGCCACTGTGGGCAGACAGGACACTAGGCTAGATGGACCTTTGGTCTGATCCAGTCTGGCCGTTCTTATGTTCTTAAAAGATAGATTTTAGGTGATTATAAGGGATAGCAAGCACAGCCAAGCAGATTACCTAGTGGGAACAGAGATAAGAACATAAGAACAGCCGCACTGGGTCAGACCAAAGGTCCATCTAGCCCAGTATCCTGTCTGCCGACAGTGGCCAGCACCAGGTGCCCCAGAGAGGGTGGACTGAAGACAATGATCAAGCGATTTGTCTCCTGCCATCCCTCTCCAGCCTGTGACAAACAGAGGCCAAGGGCACCATTCTCCTGCACCCCAAAACCCTTGGATGAGGGGTTTGGGGTGCAGGAGAGTGCTCTGGGCTGGGACAGAGGGATTTGGAGTAGAAGGGGTATCAGGGCTGGGGCAGAGGGCTGGGGTGTGCTGCTGGAGGTGCAGGTTCTGGCATGGAGCTGGGGGGAGGGTTTTGGGGTGCAGGAGAATGCTCTGGGTGGGATTGAGGTAGAACAGGGCCGGGGCAGGGAGTTGAGGTCCTGGGAGGACTCAGGGCTGCAGGCTCTAGGCATGGCTTACCTCCAGCAGCTCCCAGAACCACTGGTGAGGTGGGTCTGCATTTGTCCCATCCCCAAGCGTTGGCCTCACAGCTTCCATTGACCACACTTCCCAGCCAATGGGGGCAGAAGAGACAACACTGGGGGCAGGCGGCATACAGAGTCCCTTGGCCACCCCTTCTCTGAGGCCCTGCTCCTGCTCCACCACTTCTCTGAGGCCCTGCTCCTGCTCCACCACTTCTCTGAGGCCCTGCTCCTGCTCCACCACTTCTCTGAGGCCCTGCTCCTGCTCCACCACTTCTCTGAGGCCCTGCTCCTGCTCCACCACTTCTCTGAGGCCCTGCTCCTGCTCCACCACTTCTCTGAGGCCCTGCTCCTGCTCCACCACTTCTCTGAGGCCCTGCTCCTGCTCCACCACTTCTCTGAGGCCCTGCTCCTGCTCCACCACTTCTCTGAGGCCCTGCTCCTGCTCCACCACTTCTCTGAGGCCCTGCTCCTGCTCCACCACTTCTCTGAGGCCCTGCTCCTGCTCCACCACTTCTCTGAGGCCCTGCTCCTGCTCCACCACTTCTCTGAGGCCCTGCTCCTGCTCCACCACTTCTCTGAGGCCCTGCTCCTGCTCCACCACTTCTCTGAGGCCCTGCTCCTGCTCCACCACTTCTCTGAGGCCCTGCTCCTGCTCCACCACTTCTCTGAGGCCCTGCTCCTGCTCCACCACTTCTCTGAGGCCCTGCTCCTGCTCCACCACTTCTCTGAGGCCCTGCTCCTGCTCCACCACTTCTCTGAGGCCCTGCTCCTGCTCCACCACTTCTCTGAGGCCCTGCTCCTGCTCCACCACTTCTCTGAGGCCCTGCTCCTGCTCCACCACTTCTCTGAGGCCCTGCTCCTGCTCCACCACTTCTCTGAGGCCCTGCTCCTGCTCCACCACTTCTCTGAGGCCCTGCTCCTGCTCCACCACTTCTCTGAGGCCCTGCTCCTGCTCCACCACTTCTCTGAGGCCCTGCTCCTGCTCCACCACTTCTCTGAGGCCCTGCTCCTGCTCCACCACTTCTCTGAGGCCCTGCTCCTGCTCCACCACTTCTCTGAGGCCCTGCTCCTGCTCCACCACTTCTCTGAGGCCCTGCTCCTGCTCCACCACTTCTCTGAGGCCCTGCTCCTGCTCCACCACTTCTCTGAGGCCCTGCTCCTGCTCCACCACTTCTCTGAGGCCCTGCTCCTGCTCCACCACTTCTCTGAGGCCCTGCTCCTGCTCCACCACTTCTCTGAGGCCCTGCTCCTGCTCCACCACTTCTCTGAGGCCCTGCTCCTGCTCCACCACTTCTCTGAGGCCCTGCTCCTGCTCCACCACTTCTCTGAGGCCCTGCTCCTGCTCCACCACTTCTCTGAGGCCCTGCTCCTGCTCCACCACTTCTCTGAGGCCCTGCTCCTGCTCCACCACTTCTCTGAGGCCCTGCTCCTGCTCCACCACTTCTCTGAGGCCCTGCTCCTGCTCCACCACTTCTCTGAGGCCCTGCTCCTGCTCCACCACTTCTCTGAGGCCCTGCTCCTGCTCCACCACTTCTCTGAGGCCCTGCTCCTGCTCCACCACTTCTCTGAGGCCCTGCTCCTGCTCCACCACTTCTCTGAGGCCCTGCTCCTGCTCCACCACTTCTCTGAGGCCCTGCTCCTGCTCCACCACTTCTCTGAGGCCCTGCTCCTGCTCCACCACTTCTCTGAGGCCCTGCTCCTGCTCCACCACTTCTCTGAGGCCCTGCTCCTGCTCCACCACTTCTCTGAGGCCCTGCTCCTGCTCCACCACTTCTCTGAGGCCCTGCTCCTGCTCCACCACTTCTCTGAGGCCCTGCTCCTGCTCCACCACTTCTCTGAGGCCCTGCTCCTGCTCCACCACTTCTCTGAGGCCCTGCTCCTGCTCCACCACTTCTCTGAGGCCCTGCTCCTGCTCCACCACTTCTCTGAGGCCCTGCTCCTGCTCCACCACTTCTCCGAGGCCCTGCTCCTGCCCCGCCCAGGAACCTGTGGGGAAGGTTTAAAGGTTTAAAAATATTTATTAATAACTTGGGTGCCACAGTGGCACATCCAAACAAGCCACATGAACTCAGTACTGGTGCACAACACAAAATTCATTTTGCTCATGCGAGGAAACTTAGGCTATGTCTACACTGGCGGTTTCTTGCGCAAGAACATCTTGTGCAAGAGTTCTTGTGCAAGAACATGTCCACACTGCCATGTGCGAGCTGTGCTTTTGCACAAGAGCATCTATGGCAGTGTGGACGCTCTCTTGCCCAAGAAAGTGCTGATGGCCATTTTAGCCATAGGGCTTTCTTGCGCAAGAAATTCATGTTGCCTGTCCACACTGGCCTCTTGTGCAAGAACAGTTGCGCAAAAGGGCTTCTTCCTGAGCGGGAGCATCATAGTTCTTGCTCAAGAAGCCCTGATTTCACACATGAGAACGTCAGTGTACTTGTCAAGAACACACGGCCAGTGTAGACAGGAAGCAAGTCTTTGAGCAAGAGTGGCCGCTTTGGTGCAAGATCGTGCCAGTGTAGACACAGCCAAGGGGAGGGCGAGAGGGAGGCAGAGGCAGGGAATCAGCGCTGGCTCAGCATGTCTGCATGGTTTGGGGGAAGGTGCAGGGAAATTGAGCTCAGCTGAGTTGCAGAGTGGGGAGGTCTGGGGAGCTGGGTTGGGCTGGGCTATGGGGTGTGTGTGTGTGGAGCTCAGAGCTCAGTTTGGCTGCAGGAGGAGGGAGGTGCCTGGAACCGGGGCTAGACTCAAGGGGAGGAAGGGACAGGGAATCAGCGCTTGGCTCAGCAGTTTTGCGGGACTTGGAGGAGGTGCAGGGAAAGGGGGCTCAGCTGTGCTGTGGGGGAGGAATGCAGGGAACCAGTGCAGGGCTCAGCTGGGCTGAGGTGGATGGGGGAGGGCATACAGAACAGATGGGCAGCTCAGCTGGGCTGGGAGGGGCTGCAGGGAACTGGTGCTGCACTCCCTTGGATTGTGGGGCATGGTTTTGGGAGAGGTACAGGGAACCAGCGGGGGTGGGCAGCTCGGTTGCAGGGGATAGAGGTGCAAAGAAGCCTAGTGGGGAGGAGGGGAGAGGGGGAAACCAGGAGCCCTGAAATGACCTCCCCTGGTCCAAAAATTCCTCATCTGGGACCAGTCAGGTCCAGAGGGTGCCAGATCAGGGAGGTCCAGCTCCTACCCAAGTCCCTTCCTTGCACCCCTCCCTCAAAGCCAGACATCCTACCCCCAATCTGCTCCTGCTCCCTCCCCTGGCCAGACACCCTACATCCAGCCTGCTTCTGCCCCCCACCTCCCTCCCAGATCCTGCACCCCATCTCTATCCCGCTCCTTGGCAGCCCTGCCATCCAACCTAGCACCTAGCACCACCCTGTCCCTGGCCCCAACATGCTGCCATCCACTCTAGCACCCAGCAGCACCCTGTTCCTTGTCCCAGCACCCTGCCAGTCACCCTAGTGCCCAGCAGGACCATGTCCCTGACCCCAACCCCCTGCCACCTGCCTGCCCCAGCACTTTGTCCCAGGTGGAAACACTTTGGAGTGTGGATACATAGTTGATACTCCTCACTGCAGATACAGAAATGACACGTGCGTGCACAGTCAGACACATGTACACACACTCAGCACATCATAACCTCTCCAATGGCCTCTCTCGACACGTATCAAACGCTCGACCACGTCCTCATTACAGCATCGTAAGTGCACTGAGGAACAGGGCTGCAGGGCCACACCAGGCGCAGGACATCGTGGCTGCAGTGGCCCATGGCTCCGAGCTGGCACACTGAATCCCACGTGTTGTTTTGCAGGTTCTGGCCGATGATCCGGATCAGGGTGCAAATGGTCAGGTGACTTACGCAATCAACCAGTCGCTGCCCATGAATGGGCTGTACCACATTGATGCCCAGATGGGAACCATCACTACTGCAGCCATTCTGGACAGAGAGATCTGGTCGCAGACCCGGTGAGTTACAGCCGGCAAAGTGGGAGAAGGAGCGAGGTGTTCCAGGGAGGCAATTAGGGGACCAAGCGCTTGCTGTCTTCAGATACACATTGGCTACATGAGACAAATGTAGCCCATCACGAGGCTCCATACAGACAGTGGGGCCCCACTCCACTGTCTCCCAAACCTCCACCCGGCTCCTTCCTGTCCTCACGGAGCTTGAACTCGCGAATCGCCTGTTTGCAGTGCTCAGGACACGCTGGGCGGGAGGGGAGGAGGTGGTAAGCGTGGCACCGCCAGGGCGGAAGAGGCACGGGCAGTGGGGGAGCTTGGCACTCGTGGGTTGTTCCAGCCCCAGAGCACCCCCAGAGTCAGCACCTGGACTGGCTGGGAATCTCTGCCATGCTTTGCAGCAGTTCAGACAAGAGCTGAC